ATGGCCACGAATTAGTGGGGCATGCTGACGGCCACTGAGTCACCCATGGCTGGCTGTGTCCCCAGACTCGAGCACACAGCACGGTGTGCACAGAAGGGGTCCAAAGCACTGCGATACGCGGACACAGTGGTGACGCTTGTTGCAGGACACGGCAGAGGAGTTTGGGCCACTTGGAGGCTCTCTGCGTAGAGCCACTTGTGCTTTTCTGGCCTTGGCTCAGAACGATGCAGTCACCGAAGGCCTCGTGAGCGTGGGACACCAGGAAGCCAGGGCGGGACGTTACTGGTTGGCAAAAGCTGGCTTTGGCAGAGCCGCTCCAGGGACGATGCTGTATGGGAAGGGGGTGGGACGCCCCCAAAGGAAACGTGAAGCACCCACAGAGCGTGGCTGGCTCCACCCTTCCCGGGGTACGGGGCCCGCATGGGGGAAGCTTTGCTCCGTGGAGGAGAGCAGCCTGCAAGCTGGGTGCCACCTCTAGTGGCCTCTGCCCTCCTCCAAACAACAACGAAGAAATGACAAATAAAACCCCAAAATGGGACCAGGAACTGGGCCCACGCTCACCTGCCTAGAGACGCCTGCCCGGGCATCTCAGTCCAGCTGTGACCACCAACATCAACACATACACAACACGTGTGCACATACACAACACATGTACACATACACAACACGTGTGCACGTACAACTACATGCACATGGATTAAGGGCTGAAGCGAATAGTAACAGCCTTCGGATCTGCAGAGCTTTCTGATTTTAGGTGAGAAAAAAAATGTTGTCAGTACGTTTGCATCAAAGAGAGAGAGAAACTTGCTAATTGAAAAATGGTTTGCACAGAAGAAAATATGGAGATGCCAGCTATGTAAATTAGCATATGCCCGGATCTGAAAGAAATCATGCCAGGCCAGGAGGAAATTAAGCAAATCAGGAGAGTGAGGGACCAGCCCTAGAAGCAAATTGGAAGCACCCGGGGGCTTCGGTCCATCTCAGGAGGGGGGCGGGCAGTGAGTTGAGAGGCGAGGAGAGTCCCGTCCCGGCTGCGCGCAGGTGGGTGGGGCGTGCCCTCCCACCCGGGCGGGGTGCGGGGGCGCTTTTCGTGCAAGCTCTTACACTGGGGGTCAGAACACTGCCCTCTGCTTCGGGCGGTCAGGAAGCCCCCCCAAACGCCCCCAAGCAGCACTGGGCTGGCGATGGCATGAGTCGTGCCTGGGCTGCTGGGTTTCCTCGGTTTCATGGCGCCCGAAGGATCTTAGCAAGCTCGCGGCAGTCTCTGCCGCGCTGGGCCCGGTCTCAGGTATGTTGCTGCGGCCGCGGTCGGGACAGCGCCGCGTCCTGGTGGCCAGGGACCGGGACCGCGCCGCGTGCAGGGGGCCGGGTTCGGGAACACCTGGCGTCCGGGGAGCCGACGACACCGGACAGCGCGCGTCCAGGGCCCGGGACTGCGGCAGGGGGACCGGTGCCGCTGGCCCGGCGATCGCGCCGCGGCCTGCGCCGAAGCCGGCTGGCTTATCTTGGCCGCTGGCCTCCACGGAGCTTGCGGCTCGGTAACTGCACGGCGGCAAGGCAAAAACAAACCAAAAACAATAAAAGCAGAAGGTAGGGGTGCGGAAAAAGGCGTGGGGAGACACAGGCGTGCGGCCCTGCAGGTGGGACTGACAGAGAGGAAACAGGACGAGTTAAAGAGAGCCAACCTCGGCCTGGCCCACAAGGAGAGCCATCTGTGCCAAGGCACCCTGAGCCCACCTGCCTGGTGCCTGGCACTGGAGCAGCGGTGGAGGCGGGGGGTGGGGTGGGTGGGGGCAGCACCAGCAAAGGCGGAACGAGGCCAGGTACGGCATGGGGGGTGCGGAACTTTAACCAGCGCACCCACGGCTCAAGTTTCCTGGCCCCCGGCTGCTCGCAGCCTCAGGGAAAGTGAGATCTAATTTGACGAGCGTCAGAGTGCCACCTGGCTCGGGACTGCCATCCAAGTACCCCCGTAGGGCCGGTCTGGACGCAACTAACCCGGCAGAAGCGCTGCCCGCGCGGGCCCTTATCAGCGCCCTCAAGTCCCCTGTCGGGCCAGGGCGGCCGGCCGGCTGCGGACTTTTCTGCTCGCCTTCCAGTGCGGAGGTCCGGAAGCCCGTCCCGGCACCCCCGCCTCCCTGGTGGCCGCACCGTCCGCAAGGGCCAGAGGCTTACCAAGCGTCGCAGCGAGCGCGGTCAGGCCGAGTAGCGCCGACTCTCGCGGCCCACGCGCTCTACGCCGGTCCCGCCCCAGGTACCAGCAGGACCTTCCCGCGCGCGCGCGGGCTGGGCCGGGCCCCGGCCCGCCCGCACGTGGACGGCAGAGGAGCGCGTCGAGACCACAACCGACCGCTCGGAGCGGCGCCGCTCTGGGACCGCCGGGAGGCAGCGGCGCGGGCGTCGCGGCCGCTGTGGAGAGCGTGGCGGAGGCCGTGCGCTGCCGGCAATGCGGGAGAGGCAGGGGGCCCGGTTGGGGATGAGCCTCGAGGGACCGCGCGCGCGCGGCGCGCGCGCGCGCGCTGCGCGGGGGCGCCCTTGGCAGCGGAGACGCAGGGCCGGCATACGGTTTCGCGACCGCCACGCAACCGCGGGGCGCGGGCCGGCGCTGGCGGAGCTTACACGCCGCGACGGCGTGGCTGCGGGGCGAGGCGGCGGCGAAGCCGTCCGGGTTGGGACGCGCGGACGGCAGGGGGCGGACGCCGGCGCCTGGGCCAGCGACCAGCAGGCTGGCCGAGGCGGGGGCAAGAGTGCAAGGCTCTGGGCTGGCCGCGCGGCGGCGCGGGACTGCGGCGCGCGGGCCGGGCGCGCGGGGCGGCGCGGCCGCGCGCGGCGGCGAGGCGCGGCGGCGAGCGCGGGCTCCGCGCGGGGCCCGGGGCGGAGCGAGCGGCCGCGGCGGAGCCGGTCGCATCGCGAGCCCGCGCGCGCCGGCGGTCGCGCCGCGCCGCGCCGCGCGGCGCTGTAGGATGGCGGCGGGCGCCAGGTTCCCAGCGGCGCGCGGTCAGCATGAAACGCCCCGGCCCCGGCACGCCTCTCACTCTGGCCCGATGAACGACGGACCCGCCGCCGCCAGCCCCTGGCTGTGGCTGGTCCCCGGAGCTCGCGCCGGCTGCTCAGCGGCTCGGCGCGGGTCCGCCGCCCCCGCCGGTGTGCCTCGCCGCGGACAGCCACCCGGGTGGTCCAGCGTGCCCGCGCTGGCCGCGCTGGCCGGCCCCGGGCGACCGCTGCTTGCCGTGATGCCGCCCGCCTCCGCGCCGGACCACGCCGTCCGCCTACCGCCTGCTGCACGGGCAGGTAAACTCGAACGAGCTCACGTCCCAGCCCCGGCCCGGCGCTGGCCGCTGCCCCCGTCCAGCGCGCGGCCCTCCCGGCTTCGGTCCTGCCTGCCGGCGCGGCGCTCCCGCCCGTCGCGCCCCCGCCGCCGGCCCTCCGGCCCTCCGGCGCAGCCCGCAGGCCGCACTGCGCGGAAACGTTCGCGCCTCCGCCGTCCGGCTCTGCCGATCCCGCAGGCTTCTGGGCGTGTGCCCAGTGCCCGCGCGGGCGGCTTGGGCCGTGACCGGCCCGAGGCCGGACTGGCCTTGGCCGCAACTTTGGCCCCGCCCGCGCGGGTTTTCTTTGCGCTGTCCGGGCGCCGGTTGCTGAAGGAAGCTCCGGCGACGCGCGGCCGGCTGTGCCGACACGCAGCGGAGTCTGGGACTCGCCAGCCGCTGCTTCGCGGGGAGCGCCAGGCAGGGATCAATAGCTACTCTTCTGATCTCCGATCTGGTTCGGGTTGGTCGCCCCTGCCCCTCCTTTGAATCAGACTACTCAGGGCGATGTCTCAGGGCGAATTCAAGCCATGGCAGCCCCCGGGAAAAGCCTGCCTCAGCACCGGCGAACCGGCTGTCGGGCCCGCTTCCTCCC